TATTACACAAAATATCAAAAACATAATAGCTATCAGTGCAAACAAATTTCGCAATTTGACCAGAAAATAAAACTATTCTTACCTTGATTGAGACAACTAATTTCCTTTAAAACTATTAGCTAATGATCATCTTAACAAATTTTAAATAAATAAAGTTTACTAAGTTAAAACCATATTTTAACAGTAGACAAAGTAAACATATGATAATTGGTAGAGCACCTAAGTAAAACTAAAAAAATAAAATAACTAAATTTGCTATGCGATGCTTGTTATAACTATTAAGTTTTCGCCTAGCTTGCTTTCTTTTATTTTGATTACAATTTATCTCAGCTTGCCTAGTGTCATCTCTTCAATTTTGACAACAATTTATCTCAGCTCGCCTAACCTGGTTTCTTTTTTTTTCGAGTAAGTCTAATAATTTCACTTATAAAATTATCAGACAATATTAAAAATCAAAGAAGCGTGTGTAAAAATGATGCTTAAAATAATAAAAAATTAACTTTTATTTTTAGATTGAACTTTAAGTTTTCATTCTTGAACTCATCTAAAATACAGTGTAAGCAAATAAAACAGCATAATATAATATTTTACTCTACCATTTGTCATATTTAAAATAGATGTTTTAAAATAATTAAGCAATGTGTAAATAAAACATATTTCTATGTGTGTGTGTGTATATATATATATATATATATATATATATATATATATATATATATATATACATACATAGTGTATATATATTTGTATATACACTATGTGTGTATATATATACATATATATATATATATATATATATATATATATATATATATATATATATATATATATATATATATATATATATATATATATATATATATATATATATACACACACACGTACATAAAACATTAAAATAATAACATAAAAACATTCTTGATGCAAAAAATTATAAAAATTTAATGAAATTTAGTAAAACTTATGCTTCAAAATGTTGCATACATTTATATTTATAAAAAAATATAATTTGAACATATTCAATAAAGGAAATCAAATTTCTTAATTGTTTTAATGGGGAGGAGCTTAATATTGTCTGTTTATTAACAAAATTTATTTATCGTCAAAAGGATAAACTGTTAACAAAAAAGAATAGAATAATTAATAATGCAATAAATAAGTAAATACAAAACTAATAAAAAAAAACCTCTATAAACAATCATATATTTGCTTCAAGTGAAGAAACTTGGAAATATTGAAACTTGTTAAAGTAACAGTAAAAAAATTATTTTATGAAGGATAAATCTGTTCTATAAAAGTTACTTAAAAATATAAATATTAAAAAAATTATAGATATTAAAAAACTATATATCTTTAAACATTTCTTATAAACAAGTTCTTTCAACAATTTTTTTTTAACAGTTTTTATGACTACACTAATAACAAACATATTTAATGTATGTATTTCATCATAACAGTACACTACTTAACTGGCATGGACAACAATCTTTCTCCCAAAAATCAACACTCTTGCTGCAAACTAAGCCAAGTCACAACAATTTGAAAAGATATTTACAAACACATAAATGATTTTTACACACTTACAAAATATAAACCCATATAACCTAACACATAAACATAAATAACACATAAATATATATAAATAATATAGTGAAAATATATAAATCAAAAAAAATATATAATTTTAGAAACTTTCCAAAAACAATCTTATTTTTGTAATATTTGTAAAGATATAGTAAAAATATATAAATCAAGAAAAATATATAATTTAGAAACTTTACAAAAACAATCTTATTTTTGTAATATTTGTTTAATGAAATATCTCGTATAATAAATGTTTAACAACTTGGAAAAACAAACGATCTATTTTTTTATATAAAAGCAAACAGATTTTTTTTTTAACTTGTCTAACAAATTTTTTTTTAACACTAAATTTATCAAGAGTTTGACCTCTTGATAAGAGCATCGTCTTTTAGAGTCATCATCGTCTTTTAATTTAAAAATTAAAATATATTCATTTTATTATTAAGTTGATGAAGCAAAGTTTTTGATCTTATTACTGATTAAACAGGTATTAACAGATTATTAAGATTCAAGAGTACCTTATCTCGTAGTCAAAAATAGAAATAAACAAAAATATGAATATTTAAAAGACCAAGCATGCTCATAAAACTCCATTTAAGAACACGCACGAATGGTGAGCAGCAGCAGTAACGTTAAGTATTAATTATAAGCGATAAGCGATAATATGTTATAGTACCTGTAGTTTTATCACATTTTAGTTTAAACTTTTACCAACCAACTGTTGTGTTATATTTTAATTTTTTTTTTCTTTTATAAAACAATATATTATTTACAATTTTATAAATATATACTTTCTCTGGTTACAAATACAATCAAGTTTTACAGATGTTTTTTTGCATATATAATATAGTTAGTTGACAAGTGTTTTTATTTATTTACATTTTATTTATATTTTTATTTTTATACATTTTGTTTTTGTGTTTTTAAACTTTATATTATTCTACGCTTTTTAAGTTTTATATTTTTTTGTGTTTTTTGGTTATATATATATTTGTATTTTTAATTTTTTAAATTTTTAGACGTTGTGCAGAGAGGTGTCAAAAACTTGGTAAGGTAAAAAAAGTTTATATATATTATAAGATAATGTTTAATATTAGATTAGAGTATTTTGAAAAGAAAGACTACCCAGTCAGCCATTTGATATCATAATTATATCATATTGATCTTATACTGTGAGATCTATGATATCATAGCATGATATATTTATGAGATCAATATGATATCAAAATGAACACCTCAAACTCGAGTTTGTAATGTTTCGTCAAAAATTGATATCAATGTGATGTAATTTAGATATAAAAAGTTTCTCATGGTTTGATATCAAGTCGTAATATCAATTTGATCTCATAATGATATCACAACTATACTTTAATTTATTTATCTATGATTATGACATCTATATGATATCATATTGAGATAATTATTTGATATGGTAGTATGAGAAGTTTTTGATATCATATATATATAATTTTGATCTTATATTTCAACAGAAAGAGGACAGTAGGCAAAAATGTGGATGTTGTCTTCGATTTTACCGCAAGTTTTGCATTGGTTGTTTTTTACAATCTGTTGCCTTGTGTTTATGGCTAGCAAGGCCGCAGAAGGTTGACTGTTTTGTAGAAATCGAAAGAGGTAATTTGTGTCGGTCCGCATGCGTGGGAGGTGATGTTTTTTTTCCAAATTTGGGTCAACGGCATTGTTGATTTTGTTGAACCGTTCCAGTTAAGTTCTGCTGGCACAATGCTCTTTTTGTTTTTTGCCACTTCTTAATAAAATTTTTTTGTTGATTATAGGGGGATGTTAAAAAGAGACCCGTTTTTGTCTAATGTTTCAATTGTTGTTGTGTAGTACTGGGACATTTTGTTATCCCAATGTTTTGGAAAATTGTTCTGTTTCAAAAAGTTCCAGCTTTGGTTTTGGTTCGTAAACTTTATAAGTGAAGTTTGAGGCAAAGTGCAAGGCTTTGCTTGTTCACGACATGATTAGTGTAAATGATAGTTTAATGTAAATAATATAGTTGTATTATAAACGTCTCTAAGCGTCATATATTGACATTAGAGATTTCCTTCGCTAATGAGGCAATTAGCGAATTTTGTATATAAATCATTATAAGTTAGAAAATACCTATAATATCTATCTTGGGAAAATAATATATGGTATAAATAATCGTGTACAAACTTATAAAAAAGGCGTTTTATTTTAGTTAGAGATTGACGTAAAAACCGAAATATATAATGCTAATATGAGTCACGTTTTATTATTGGGTTTAATAAGTCCTACGCGCTTTCACACGAACATTTTGGTAGCAGAGGGTAGTTATTTAACAATCAAACACAACAATGAGCGATATTGAGAGTGAAAGTGAGTTGGAAGGAGTTCATCATATTCGGATGGATCAGCTAAAACGAGCTAAAGCGAAGACAAAAGCAACGTTTACGAGAAGAACGCTAACGGAATTACTTTACTCCGACCTTCCGAGCAGAAACGATATTCGTGAATGTTGAGAAAAGCTCGATGTGGCACAATCGGCTGCAAAAAAGGCAATCAATGACCTTCCAGTTGAATATCGGAAAAATAAAGAATTCGAAATGGCGACCAAGGCCACATAAGAAATTGAAGTAATAGAGTCTGCCTACATGGAAGCAGACGAAATGATGCACGAATATCTTTATTCTCGAAAAGATGACGCTTAAAGCAATGTCACAATAGGGGATGGTGGCGAACGTAAACGTCAACTGAAAGAATTGGTCAAAAAATGAAAAATAAAACTAGCATCGATAAAGTTGGTTATGAAAAACATGGATGTGGATTAATGGATAATAGAGTGATGGATGATGGATATGTAAAACATTGGAAGCAAAATCGGCAAATGGAATGGGATGAGTTGAAAAATGATCAATTGAATGCTCAAGTTAAACGACATACTGAAACTGTTTATGTAAAAAAAGGACTATCAAACACGCCCTGTTGTAACTGGTTTGCGAGGTGAACCATCTAAAATAACGGAGTACTGTAAAAAAAGTATTGACTTTCAACCGAAAAATAACGACTTAAGTACGAAAAGTGAAATTGGACAAGACTTATGGAGGCATATATCTAGAGTGTCGATTCCTGTTTTTTCTGGAGATAAAATGCAATACGAAAGTTGGAAGGCAGCATTCAAAGCATGCATTGATAGGGCTCCAGCTACACAGGAATATAAGAATGGGTTATTCAAGAAGCTGAGTTTTATACAGTTGCCCAGGAAACCTTTTGTGGTTTGGAAGATACAAAGTATAATCAAGGAAAACCCTTTAAAATCTTTAAAGAAAAACAAAGAACATACTTTGGAGAAAAGATCAAAGAAGATATAATAAAATTGTGCAAAGTTTGCAAATGGCAAATATGCAGTTTGGGAATGTGAAAAGTTCAAATTCATGGCAGTAAGTAAAAGATGGGAACAAGCAAAGTTTCATCATCTATGTTATTGTTGTTTGGGTAATGATCATGTTGGAAACAAATGCGAGAAACCAAGAAAATGTGGAACCGATGTTTGTCAGGAAGTTCATAACAGACTATTGCATTTAAAGAAACAAACGAGAAAAAAAAGGGAAGAAACAACTCTTCTTACCAAGTTTTCCAGTAAAAATCATAGTCAAGAAGTGGCTATAACAACTTTATCTGTCATTTTAACAAATGGAAAGCTGTCGATAAAAGTTAACGCTCTATTGGATGATGCTAGTACCCAAACCTATATAAACAGTAATGTAGCTGCAGAACTTGGATTACAAGGAGTAATGAAAGAAATTAAGATTAATGTACTCAATGGTAGAGTAGACACATTCCAAACAATGCCGGTTGAATTTCAGTTGGAAAGCAATGATGGTAAATTGAAAAAGAAGATAAATGCATTAACAGTTGATACATTTACGAGTAACATGCAATTGGTGGATTGGAATAAATATAAAAACCATTGGAGTCACCTAAAAACTATACCATTTTGCAGATTGGGACAGCGACCGATTGTAGATATTCTTATTGGATTGGATAATGCTGAGCTTCACTCATCGAAAACAGAAGTTAAAGGACGCACTGGAGATCCAATAGCACGACTTACGCCACTGGGATGGACATGTGTTGGGGCGCTTGAACGTACTCAAAATCATTATACTTGCCACACCAGGACGAACACTAAAAATATTTCCGAAGTTGAAAAAATTAATGAGACACTAAAAACATTTTTGGAAATCGAAAATGTTTATCCAACATCAGAAACGCAAGCTGGAAGTGTTGAAGACAAAAAGGCCCTAGACTAAGCGGAAAATTCGACAAATTATGTGGATGGGCAATATCAAATTGGCATTCCTTGGAAAGAAGATTGTTGCCAAACAACTATGAAATGGCAGCAAATCGGTTAATAAGTACAAAAAAACGGCTTAAAAGAACACCGGAGGTGATGGAAATTTACAAAGAAACAATACGAAACTAGCTAACAAAAGGTTATATCAAAAAAGTAAGTAACAATGATTACAAAAATCAATGGATTCTCCCACACTTCAGTGTTGTAAAGTTTGAAAAGGAAACTACAAAACTCAGAATTGTTTTCGACACTGCTGCAAAATGCCAAGGTGTTTCGTTGAATGACATCATCTATCATGGACCAAAACTGCAACGAGATCTCTGTGTCGTTCTGTTGCGGTTCCGAAGAAACGCAGTCGCTTTGCTGGGTAATATCACAGAAATGTACTTGCAAATTGAGCTGAATCCGAAAGATCGAAGATATCACAGATTTCTTTGGCGGGATCTAGAAGAAAATAAAAACCCTGGGTTATTTAAATTTACAAGAGTTGTATTTGGTGTCAACTCCAGCCCTTTTCAAGCACAGTTTGTGATACAAAAACATGCAGAGAAATATAAAAAATAGTTTCCACTGGCTGTGGAGACGGTTGATAAGTCTACATACATGGATGACAGTATGGATTCAGTTGAAACCGAAGAAAAAGCAATTGAACTATATAATCAACTTACACAACTGTGGAAAAAGGCGGCAATGACCGCAAGAAAATAGATTTCTAATTCAAAAACAGTGATGGAATGCATTCCTATTGAAGCTAGAGCAGCAAAAATAAACATAAACATTGAGAACTTACATACAGTGAAAACACTGGGTGTATCTTGGGAAGCAGCCGAAGATATGTTTACATTTAGTTACACTCTACCATCAGAACCATTTACGAGTAAACGACTGCTCTTAAAATATATTTCAAAACTCTTCGATCCACTTGGATTCTTGTCTTCTTTCGTTATTCTAGCAAAAATATTATTTCAAGAACTATGGACGTCAGGAGAATATTGGGATGAAACGCTACCAGACAAAATAAAACAAAAACTGGATATCTGGTTTAACGAACTGACAAGTATACACCAATGTAAAATACCTCGCTGTTTACGTATCAAAAACAATAATAAAATCATTTATTCAATTCTTCACGTATTAGTCGACGCTTCACAAACTGCTTTTGGAATAGTATATTATTTAGTTCATGGTTATGAATTTGGTGGAACGTCAAGTTCTTTTGTTTCGTCAAAAACCCATGTTGCTCCATTAAATTCAGTTAGCATTCCCAGATTGGGGTTAATGAGTGCAGTATTAGGATTGAAGCTTGCGCTCTCCGTCATAGAAGCTTTGCCTTGCACAATAAAAATGGAGAATGTTATATTCTGGTCGGACAGCTTGAATACGTTATCCTGGATTAAAAATCCAAGTAGAAGATTTAAGACCTCCGTTGCAAACTGAGTTAGAGAAATCCAATCTCATTCAAATCCGAAACAATGGCGTTACTTACCGACAGGGAAAAACCATGCGGATTTGTCATCTAGAGGAGTAAATATAAACGACTTTCAAAAAAGTTACTTGTGGCGGACTGGACCTGATTTCATCCAACAAGAGGAATCCCAATGGCCAACAAAGGAATTTAAAGAAATCAAAGACAAATTAATTCTAGAAGTAAAAAACACTTATACTATGATGGCTATTAAATCCGAAGAAAATACCGATGACTGGCGATTGGAACCAACCCGCTAAATAGTTGGAGAAGGTTAACACAAGTTTTAGCCTGAGTACAAAGGTTCCAACATAACTGTTTAAAAAAATGTTTATCATCAGGAACAATCTCAACTGAAGAAATTAACGATGCAGAAACAGAACTAATTATAAATGCTCAAAAGAAAACATTTGCGGAAGAGTACAATCAATTAATAAATAATAAAGGAATTTCAAAAACTAGTTGCTTATTAAAATTATCGCCACGAATAGATGAAATTAAAATGTTAAGATGCAACAGTCGATTAAAAAATGCTGAGTCTCTCTCATTCGATACAAGATACCCAATTATTTTGCCAAGATATAACCACATAACCAAGTTGATCGTAAAAGATTGTCACGAAGCAAGACAGCATATATGTAATGTAAATCATATTTTGACGGAGTTGTCTACAAAGTATTGGGTAGTATCTGGATGAGAAGAGATAAAAAAATGGGAAGCAGAGTGTGCAGAATGCAAGCGAAGAAAAGCAAAGTTAGCAACGCAGATTATGGCACCATTACCAACTAAACGAAAGGTGTGCTGTTGATTATGGTGGTCCGTTCATAACCATTCAAGGAAGAAGGAAAAAACCCTAACCCTGACACGAGCAGTTCACCTGGAAGTAGCGTTTCTGTTGGACGCCGAATTATTTCTAAATGCATTTTTTAGGATGAGCAAGCGAAGAGGAACGCCAAAAGAAATAATATCTGACAATGGAGGCAACTTTGTATTAGCAAACAAAGAGCTGCGAAGTTTTACTGATGGCGATTAGAAAAGAATAAACGAGGCAACAAGCCATGTTGGTATAAAATGACATTTTAATCCATCTGCAGCCCCTCATTTCGGAGGAGTTCATAAGATCATGATAAAAGCCGCAAAACAAGCAATTTATTCCCAACAGGGAAATGCGGATATTACTGACGAAGAACTTATTATAGCGTTTGCTGGTGCAGAAGGACTTATAAATTCCGGACCATTGACTTATCAATCGAGTGATCCTAAAGACTGCACACCACTTACGCCAAATCATTTTTTATTTGGACAATTAGGTGGTAAGTTCGCCGCAGATGCAGTGGATACTACTTCATTCAACCCGAAAAGAAGATGGCGAAGAGTCCAAGAAAACGTTACGTCCCTGGCAAAAATGTTCGAATTGTCTGCGTACTGCTGTAATTTAAGAGGTTTCGGTGTTTCTGGTAGCGGGAATCCCTCAATTCTGCTGTCTGCTCTAATCACCGTCAGGGGTTAGGGTCTAATCACCAAAGCAGGAGCTTCGGCGACAAAAACATACAACAAAAGAGAGAGGAGTTGCTATTTCTAACTCCCTTTTTAGTAGGGAAAGAGGCTGACAGGAAACCGCAATTCAGAACAGAAGCCAAAATATCTGAATATAAGGTGTTAACAAACGATACAAAATTTTCTCCGAGATTAAATTTTCGGAGAATCTGCAGCAGAAACGCACGATCGACTTTGTCAAACGCCTTTTCTTGATCTATTGACAAAATGAAACTCGGCAGATTTTTAAATTCTGCGTAATCTGTTAGATCACGGACTAAATGTAAATTTGAAAAAATTGTTCTACCTGGAATTCAGCAAGTTTGGTTTGGTTCTATAATTTTCTCCATTACTTTTGCAAGTCTTAGGGCCAGCGCTTTTGTGATTATTTTGGAATCAGCACCGATTAAGGATACGGACCTCCAATTTTTACATACAGTAAGATCTCCTTGTTTGGGAATCAGTGAAATTATTGATTTTTTCATAGAGTAGCTGTTATTTTTTTAACGAAAAGTATTTCGTTAACAAGTTCTTCAAAGTCTTCTTTTAAAACGCGCCAAAAAATTTTGTAAAATTCAGCTGGATGTCTGTCATAGTTCGGAGATTTTCCGTTTTCAAATTTAAAATGGGCTTCTTTTAGCTCAGCGCCGGTTAGGCGGTTATTTAAAATTAAATGATGTGTGACGAGACTATAGTCTTGTCACACATCACTTAAACGTTTAGTGATAAGTTAAAAGACATAATTTTGGCTGTCTTTTCATAAATTCGTTTTGGTTTTATATAAATGTTTTTATAATATGAAATGAGGGAGTTAAGTATTTCACCAGGTTCACTCGTCAATGTGCCGTCATTCTTGCGAATTTCGGTAACTGACTTGTTCCGCTGTTGAACTTTTTCCAAATTATACAAATATTTTAAAGATTTTTTTCCTTCTTCTATTAGTTTTTTTTTCGTGGAAATAAACGCTCCTGGAAACTGGAGAAAGTAAAGAGCATCTCATTTTTCTTTGATGCTTTCTAAATTCGGTTTGGCGTTTTGTCGCTCCCATTGGATTTCGTTAACATTTCGTTTTTAATCCTTTTGATGTGTTTTTTGTTTTTTCGCACTTTCCTGTATCGATATATGTTGTAATTCAACCCTAACAAAAAGTTTGCAGTCGTACCACCGTTTTAAAATTGACTTATAGGACCGTTTTTCAGTTTGCCAATATCGAATTAAGAGTTCAATTTTTTGCCTATGCATTTCTATTTCCAAATTTTTTACTGCAAACTTATAATACAAACTAACTTTTTACTGCAAATTATTATATCAATTCCTAAAAAAAAGAATAGAATAAATACGTATTTATAATAAATGATATTTATATTAAATGGTATTTATAATAAATGGTTTTTATAATAAATACCATTTAATCTTTATCAAATCTTATGTAAAGAATTTATTATATTCTTGTTGTTAGCGATTGGTATAATAACATCAGGTAAAGAAAAAAACATATTTAAACTGGATTGCATGTATTAACATTTGTTAATACCTGCAATCCAGTTTATATTTTTGTTTTATCGTTTTTTTTTTTAATATTTTGCTGCATTATTGAAATAGATAAAGATGGCTTGCACAGTAGAACAGAACCTAATTTTAAAGTTTTAGTTAAAAAAGCGAAAAATAGACTAGTTCCTGTGGGCTTTGATAATATAGGAGCTAAAGTATACAATAAAGTGATTTTGAAATGTATTTACTTTGTTTTGTCATGTGTATATAATACTTATCCAGAGAGAGGAACCAGTCAATGAAAATCTATAGAACAAAACATTTTTTTTAATGCATTGTTAATGTCAAGCTGCTTAACTATAATGGAGTTTAAATGAAAATAAATAAATAAAACACATTAAGGTTATATAAGACATTATATAAACATTTTGTCATTATATAAACATTATGAAATTAACAAAGAA